TCTGCTGGTTTTTGTTAGCGTCTTTACCTAGAAGATAGATTTATATCATCTGCATATTCTGCTTCAACGAGATTATTCCCTGGTGGTGACAAGTCAATCTCTGAGTCGCTGAAGCCACTTAGAATTAAGTCAATTAATACACCTGTGACGAAATTGAATGGAAACGGTGATATTGGGACTATTACTATTACCAAATCTGTAGAATGGGTGTACTTTGTAAAAATTTCCATTGATATAGAGGTGCATGAGACAGTGTTAAACAATGCTTAGATTCTTTTTTGGGGCGAAACAATCACAAACATTGTAGGATAACTGAATTCATTTATTCTCGTGTGCTCGGTTGCTTCTTTCATACGTATTAAGTTCAAAATTGGTGTACAGCATGATAGTTTAAAAGGATATCGTCGTGGCTTGTGGGGTATGCCAGGTTGGGTGTGAGGACAAATACTAATCATTGAAACTGACTGGTGGTGGCACTAAAAACAGTGAATCGACAGGAGTTGGATGTCATTTGGCTTTGGATTTCATCCCAGTGACTCGGAATTGTGGTAGAGTACAACTCCATTATGGATGAAATTTTTATTTTGATAGAGTTACACTGTGTTATACAGTAGTATTTACTGATGACCACGTTTCGAACACAATTTACTGCGCATAATCATATGAAGTCATATGAGGATATGTGATATGATTATGAGCAATAATTTTTTCTGGGAACGTCATCAGTAAATATCACTGTATAACACTGTGTGATTTATCAAAATAATGTCTTATCCAAAATGGAGTAATATTGGTGCTATCAATAAAATGGCGTAAGTTGGAAATATGATGTCCGCACAGTACAATAAATAAATGACTTTTTAGAATGTTAGAATGTGAACTGAATGCATTTTGAAAAGAGAAAGATTGAACAGTGAAGAAATATTTACTTTTCAATTAGATCCTCATCTCTGGCTCTACTCTAATATGACACGTATAGCATTTTTATTACAATACACAACAGTTTACCAATCAGGTAGTGGCACTGATATGTTTGTTAACAATAATTAGTCAGTCAGTGTCAAAATGTCAATGGGGTGGTAATTAACTAAGAAAAATTAATATGTGTAATTAAAAGGTGGAAATGGTTACAACAAGTGGATTGCATAATGCCTAATTTAGGAAAAATGAAGAGCAATTAAGGAATAAGCGTGTGCACAGGTTGATTACGTAACAGATTGTTAAAGAAAATAAAACAGTTTGGACAATGACAATTTGTAACTAAAGTTGAAGTGGTTATAAGAATAAAATAATTTTAGAAAATCAAAACAAGTGATTCAGCGAAGAGACTCTTTTCAACGAATTTATCATCAAGCTGTACAGTCGTATATATATGGTTTATCAAAAGCTTGATGATAAATTCGTTGAAAAGAGTCTCTTCGCTGAATCACTTGTTTTGATTTTCTAAATGTTACAATGGGAATTTTCCATGAGTTAAAATAATTTTTACAAGGATAACACGTAATTAAAGATGAAGTAGTCAGAAAAATAAAATAATTTGGACAACTATAGTTTTTATAGGTTTTTAAAAAGAAAAATATTTTAGGGGGAGGGGGATGAAGTAGTCCGGTTTATACAGTCATGTAACGATGGCCAAGGTAAGGAAAGTGGCTGGACAAATTTCTTCTGAACACACAAGTTTGGCTTCTTCAGGTGGATTCCTATTGCTTCAGCTGTATGTAGAAGACGAACTCGTAAAGCAAAATTAAGATTAGTAGGCATGCGATAAATAATTTTAAATGCTGTATTAACGTCAACCTTATGCTCACTGTCTACAAGGTGGGCTAAAATAGAGCTACGAATAGATTTTGTTTGTCCCTTGCTTAACCATGCCGGATGATGTTCGGAAATACGATGATGAACCTGCCTAATTGTTCGCCCGATGTAGCTAGCTGCGCAGCTGCAGTCAAACTGGTAGATACACATAGAAGAGGCGAATTTAGGTAGTTTATCCTTATTACTCGAACGTAGGATATGTGTGGTTGTGAAGAGAATTACTTAGAAAAAATGGTTATCCAGATAAGTTTATTGAGAAAAATATGAATTCATCACCTAGGACAGTCACTATGGCAACAGTTCCGAAAAAACCACTGTTCATAAAACTTCAGTTCCTCGGTGACAACATCAGCGAAATAATAACACAACGACTGAAGAATGCAGTTAAAAGAGCTTATTATGCAGCAGAGGTACGCTGTCTCTTCACGACCACACATATCCTGCGTTCGAGTAATAAGGATAAACTACCTAAATTCGCCTCTTCTATGTGTATCTACCAGTTTGACTGCAGCTGCGCAGCTAGCTACATCGGGCGAACAATTAGGCAGGTTCATCATCGTATTTCCGAACATCATCCGGCATGGTTAAGCAAGGGACAAACAAAATCTATTCGTAGCTCTATTTTAGCCCACCTTGTAGACAGTGAGCATAAGGTTGACGTTAATACAGCATTTAAAATTATTTATCGCATGCCTACTAATCTTAATTTTGCTTTACGAGTTCGTCTTCTACATACAGCTGAAGCAATAGGAATCCACCTGAAGAAGCCAAACTTGTGTGTTCAGAAGAAATTTGTCCAGCCACTTTCCTTACCTTGGCCATCGTTACATGACTGTATAAACCGGACTACTTCATCCCCCTCCCCCTAAAATATTTTTCTTTTTAAAAACCTATAAAAACTATAGTTGTCCAAATTATTTTATTTTTCTGACTACTTCATCTTTAATTACGTGTTATCCTTGTAAAAATTATTTTAACTCATGGAAAATTCCCATTGTAACATTTAGAAAATCAAAACAAGTGATTCAGCGAAGAGACTCTTTTCAACGAATTTATCATCAAGCTTTTGATAAACCATATATATACGACTGTACAGCTTGATGATAAATTCGTTGAAAAGAGTCTCTTCGCTGAATCACTTGTTTTGATTTTCTAAAATTATTTTATTCTTATAACCACTTCAACTTTAGTTACAAATTGTCATTGTCCAAACTGTTTTATTTTCTTTAACAATCTGTTACGTAATCAACCTGTGCACACGCTTATTCCTTAATTGCTCTTCATTTTTCCTAAATTAGGCATTATGCAATCCACTTGTTGTAACCATTTCCACCTTTTAATTACACATATTAATTTTTCTTAGTTAATTACCACCCCATTGACATTTTGACACTGACTGACTAATTATTGTTAACAAACATATCAGTGCTACTACCTGATTGGTAAACTGTTGTGTATTGTAATAAAAATGCTATACGTGTCATATTAGAGTAGAGCCAGAGATGAGGATCTAATTGAAAAGTAAATATTTCTTCACTGTTCAATCTTTCTGTTTTCTAAATGTCTAAATGGGGATATTTTCTATATTGAATGCATTTTAACATTATTTATCATCCTCTGATTTGACTGGTTGCAATAATATCTTCCAAACATATCTCTGGCATATGCGTAGAGTCATTTCTGTTGCATGCGTTGGGTGTAGATTCACTCCATGAAACAGGATTCAAAAGGCTGGAACAGAGTCAAAATTCTAAAAAGTGATATAGGTAGGCTGGGAGAGATGTTGACTACTGAATCCTACACGTTTCAAAGATAATTTTTGCGGCACCTCTAAATTCTGAGTGGAACATAGGCGTTCAACAGCACATTTCAACTCCACCATGTTGTATGTAGTCTTTTTTTACCTGGCTCCATGATTCCTTGTTAGGTGACATTTCAACCCCACACAATCTTCTCCATGTCACTGACTCACTCAGAACTCGTGGCCTCCCTTTGCAGTTAGTTACTTTGAAGGCCCCCAGTTTATAATTTCACTCAGCGATCTCTTCAAAGGATGTTAGTCTCACTTCCATTTTCTTCTGTGTAATTATCGGTTCGCCGCCTACCACAGTTGTTTGTTTCTAATCCTTTTTGGCGATGTGGCATTCACTATGGAGCGAAAGCACAGTGTTCAGAGTTATATTAGCCAATACCCTCTGTGTTCTTCTTATGTACATGCGTACTTAAATCACTTGTGTGCACCACATATAATTCAAGATATTAAATATACTATGAAATTTGATGTGTAGTTGGAAACTCCGATTCGAGTAAACCTGTAAGCAGTGCTTGTAACCAGCTAGGTCAAAGTGACCCAAACACTATGAAGGTCACTTCACCCTTTTGGGGCGGATTTCATAAATTATTATTATTGTTCCGTTGGGTTCCTAGTGGAACATACGGCTTCAACTCCACGTCTCCACTTGCTTCTGTCTTGCTTCTGCTGTACTTTTCACCTCCATACATGTTAGTCCATACTGTTTCAACTCCTCTTCACACGACCTCCTCCATGTCACCCTTGCACTGACGACCCACTCGCCGCTTCCCTTTCTGTCGGGTTCCACTCGAGCGATGACCTGACGCGCGCGCGATGTCACCCAGCGGTCTCCCCAGCAAGTGTCTGATCTTCAGTATAGAGCAAAGACAGTTATTGATAAAGGTCTGCAACAGGCTGTTGGAAATATTCTTTGTGACCCGCCCGCCAACTTTCTGATCCCAATAGAACAGCTGACTCACTTGACGTTGTTTTTATTGAAAATCCGACCGAATTTTGTTGTTGATGCTGGCTGAGTGACGAAGATTTCCAGATCATATTGGTTTCAGGTTGATGAATGTGTTTCTCGCCCGCCTTCCCAATTCTCGCTCGATTTGACATCATCGTCCGTTCCGACTGCGTGTAGTTGAGACAATGCTCCCTAGATAAGTGAGTGAATGAAGTAACCTCTCATCAAAAGTGTAACCGAATCGACTCAGTTCACAGAGCTTGATTAAGTCGTCGAAACCAATCAAGCTCTGGCTTGTTATTTATGCAGACGTAGAACTTTTTTTAAAAACATTAATCGATTATTCATAATCTCTTCGTTTCTTAAAAATGTTCTTTTTTAAAACAAACAAATCTTCTTACACTTCCTATATACATATATATTTAGGCATTTACAGCGTCTACTACTATTACACGGTCATTGGTCATATTATCGTATTACAATAACAATGTTATTCTTTTATCATAAATGTGTTGCATTTGTCGCCAATCAAATGTGTTTAACATACTTCACGGGATTCTCAGAAATACCATCCTTTGGAACTATCCTATTTGTATGTTATAATTTAACAATGACATTTCTAGTTAGTATGGGTTATGGAATGTGGGAACAGCATATTAAAGCGAAAATATTATTAAATAAACCACATTTATACAGAGCTGTAAGTGATCAGTATTTTTTTCTTGTTTTGTTTGTATGTGTGTATCATTTCCATTCAATATTTCCTCTTTTTGTTAATTTGTAAATTTGAATTTCCCGGAAATTCTAAGCATGTTTAATTTTCAAAATGTTTAATGCACAGTGCAATAGTGATATTTTAGGTGTTGTTATATTTTCAGGTACTGTTTTTGTAGGGATTTTGTGTTTGATTGCATGGGGGATTTTATCATGAGCTGACATCAGTTAGAGACCCACTAGAAAACCTGCAAGGAGTACTGGATAGCTGTTTCGTCCTGGTTTGAGACTCTTCATCAGCACTCACCTACCACCAGGGTTTGAACCCAGGACATTCTGGTTACAAGGCAAGCTCGTAGACCATTGAGCTGCTATGACCCGATCCAATGGTCATTGAATTCTAACTTCTGCCAATTCACGACACAGCGCGACCATTTCGCAACGTCTTCTTTAACGAGTTACTGCCTCAACTTCAACCTGCTGTACCCTACTGGTCACGACTTCCCACTAGAACCCCAGGTTAACTGCCTGAATAGGGCCAACCACTAGTAAGCATCAGATGAATTTTCAAGTATTGGTTTTGTAGGGATTTTTTTATTGCATGGAGCATTTAATCATCTTCAACGTGCTGTACCCTACTGCTTAACCCTACCATTTTATCGGGGCCTATTGGCTCAATAGTCTATGAGGTCACCTTGTAACTAGAAGGATCGGGTTTCGAACTCTGCCGGTGGGTGCGTACTGTGAAGAGTCCCAAATTAGGACGAAACGGCTGTCCAGTACTCCCAGGTTTTCCAGTTGTTATATTTATCAAGCTGTGGAATAAGTTTGAAGTGGGAAACTGTAACCGTCTTTCTAGGCAATATTTTTAGCATTAATTTCAATATAAAATGAGGTTTTGCTGATTCTCCTGCTGAAGTTCAACATGACTGATTGTCTCTCTGAAGTCTTTCTTATCCTCGAGTTCATTTCTGTTCATATTGATCCTTTTATATGCTTAATATAGTGATTCTTTATAGACTGATAATTCTGATCTATATCAGTATGTCTGTCTGTCGATTGTAGATTCATCTGAGTACTGAGCCACTAGGTGTTCTCCAACATTCCTAACGTTTCCTTTATTTATGCTCTGGACAGTTACTCACGTCAATTGTTGTCCCTCAGTTGTCTACCTGCATTGATATGAAGGAGTGGTTAACATATCATCACTTGCCTCTTGGTTTATTCTCGTAGTTGTGGAGAAGAAGAGGATATCCATTTGGACAAATTTGATGTTGTACACAGTTGATACAGTTTTTTCTGTTTTTGATGTTAATTCTTCCGGTTATGACTTCATTAGCTGCTAACACAAGGTATCCTTATTGTTGATTGTTTGATTACCGGTAGAACCATTTTATCTACCTCCTGAATATGTTGATTACAGATAGAATGGAAGTTTCTCATTTAAACCATTCAGTTCAAAGTATACAGTCGGGCAAAAAAACATCCATCTGAGCTGTAAACTGACCGCATTATTCCGTCTTTATCCGTCTTTGTTGAGTAACTAGTTTTTGACGACTTGCGGTGTCGTGTTCTGTGCATCAAACAATTACACCATAATTTCACTATCCCCTAGTTGAATGTCTTTAATTATCTTAGGAGTTGATTACAAGATTATGTCGAGTTTTCTGTATAATTCCTTGAATAAATTCTACGCCAATATTCTGCATGCCGCGTAATCTACAATGGAAAACTTACAGAATCCTTCGGAGTAAAGACGGGAGTAAGACAAGCTGGCTGGGTACTATCGCCAATGATTTTCCTGATTGCAGTAGATTGGATAATGCGACAAACAGCGGCAGGTAACGAGGAAACAAGCATAAAATGGACCCACACAAAAAACTTGGAGGATCGGGACTTCGCCGGTGATACATGTCTGATTTCCTACAAAATGAAAGATATGCAAGTGAAAAGCAACAAGTTGGCAGAAGAAGCATCCAGAGAAGATAGGACTTCAGGTGAACATAGAGAAAACAGAGGTAATGAAGACCCCTGGCCAACACCAACAGACAACAATCATCATAAGTGGGAGGAACCTGAAAGAAACAACCTCCTTTACGTACCTATCTGAGAAGCATCGTTTCAAATACAGGCGGAACTGACAAGGATATCAAAGCAAGGATCGGGAAAGCAAGACAAGCTTTCATTACTCTCAAGTCGGTGTGGAGGTCGACAGCACTGCTCAGCATCAAAAATATGATCCGGATTTTCAACTCCAACGTAAAGTCAGTGCTACCTACTATAAGGATCAGAGACTTGGCGCGTCATGAAGATCACCTCAAACAAACTAAAGACTTTCATCAACAGCTGTCTTCGCTCAACACTACTCAAGATCAGATGGCCAGAAAAGATCATCAACAGGGATCTCTGGCAATGAGCAAACCAACCAGGAACCGATTGTGCAACAAATATGCAGGGAGAAATGGAGATGGATTGGACATACTTTGAGGAAACCATCAAGTGACATCACTAGACAAGCCATTGCTCGAGTGGAACCCGAAAGGGAAGTGGCGAGTTTGTCGTCAATTTGATTTTTTGATTTTTGATTTACAGCTTGATTCCACACTGTATTTTTGGTACAAGTATGGAATTTTCAGCATGGATATCGGTAGCCCAAATTTCACAGGCCGACCATAGATATCAGGTGTGCGCCGGCGTGGGCTCGAACCCCGGACCATGTGCATGGTCGGCGAGAGTCCTAACCACTGTGCCACCGACGAAGGAAGAGCTGATTTGAATAAGAGACGAAAGCATGTGGGCAGACTTGGAGCCAGGTGAAAACTCTAGCAGAGAACCAAACGTGCAATGGAGACGCGCGGCTGGAGCACTGTGTTCTTTTAGGAATGAAAGGAAATAATAATAATTCTCCTCAATGAATACGCCGTAGAAGCTGCTATTTAGAAAGGCGATGAAACGTTCCTTAATCGAATCAACCAGCCCAAAGCAAACGTGTAACATGCTGAAGACAATCAATCTGAGCGCTGTTTATCATATACTGAATAGTTAAATAAAGCATTCACATTATTTAAAATTATAGTTATGCTCAAAATGTTAGACACCTAATTAATGTTATTGTTTATTAAAATCACAATTAATGCGTCACAACGTTACGTACACTACTGATTGACTCAGATGAGTAGTTGAACATCACTAACATCACCTGCTGCAGGACAGCCAGACAAATAGAGGTGATCTAAACACTGACCTTGACTGCCCTTCGTCTCGTTTAGGGTTGTGAGCTCACCAGCAGTGTACCCGGTTCGACTCAGCTGAAAGAGCAAAATCACTTCAAACTACCTGTATCGTAAAATTTAAAATTAAATTTTATTCTCAAAGTAAGCTCTCTCATCCTGGAGAGTATAAATGACGCACTGGATTCAGGAAAGGCAAATCATGTTCTGACCAAATTGCAACTCTACGCATCATCATCACAGAACAAAGCATGGAATGGCAAACAAACCTCTACCTCAACTTTGTAGACATTGAGAAGGCCTTCGACAGCGTTGACCACGAAGTAATTTGGAAATTACTCGAGTACTACGGCATACACCAAATATTCATCAACCTTATTCAACAGCTGTACGACAACGGCACCTGCCAAGTGATCCACAACAGAAAACTCAGTGAGGCGTTTGGAGTAAACACAGGAGTCAGACAAGGGTGCTTATTATCACCAATGATTTTCCTAATTGTGATGGACGGGAGTATACCTCGTCAGACAGTGAGTGGGAAACGAGAAGACAGGGAGGGATATCCTGGACCGACGTGGAGAACCTAGATGACCTGGATTTCACGCGGCGATGATTTATGTTTGATGTCACTGTCACAAAATCGAAGACTTACAAGCGAAAACCGACCGACAAATTGGTCGAAGAAGCAGCCGGGGAAGACAGGACTCCAGGTGAACATAGACAAGACGGAGGTTATGAAAATAACCAACCACCACCAACAACAACAACAGCAGCAAAATCCGGCAACAGTCACTATCAACGGGAGGGATTTGAAGGAGGTTACTTCATTCACTCACTTATCTAGGGAGCATTGTCCCAACTACACGCAGTTGGAATGGACGAGGATGTCAAATCGAGCGAGAATCGGGAAGGCGGGCGAGAAACACATTCACATCAACCTGAAACCAGTCTAATCTGGAAATCTTCGTCACTCAGCCAGCATCAACAACAAAATTCCGTCGGATTTTCAATACAAACGTAAAGTCAGTCAGCTGTTCCATATGGATCAGAAACGTGGAGGGCGGGTCACAAAAATATTTCCAACAGCCTGTTGCAGAACTTTATCAACCGACAACTGTCATCCAACTATCGCTCTATACTGAAGATCAGATGGCCGGTCAGGCCGGAAAGAACCAACAACAAAAAACTATGGGAAGGAACAAACAAAACATGAACCAATCGCTAACCAACAGATATGCAGGAGAAAGTGGATGGAGATGGATTGGACAGTCGCTGAGGAGGAGGCCGCTGGGTGACATCGCGCGCGCGTCAGGTCATTGCTCGAGTGGAATCAGGCCGAAAGGGAAGCGATGAGTGGGTCGTCAGTGCGAGGGTGACATGGAGGAGATTGTGTGAAGAGGAGTTGAAACAGTATGTATGTACTAATATGGATGGAGGTGAAAAGTACAGCAGAAGCAAGACAGAAGCAAGTGGAGACGTGGAGTTGAAGCCCTATGTTCCACAAGGAACCCTAGGGAACAATAATAATATAATAAAGGGAAGCTCAAATGAATTTTCCCCTCCACATGCGTAAATTACGAATTGTGAATTTCATTCATTGTTAATATGGAATTCAGCCAATAATAACGAATACCTATCTCACAAAAGGTAGCTTTCGTAGCCTAATGGTCTAGTGAACAATACTACTACTACGTGTTGCTGCTTAGAGTCTCGGTAGGAACACAGTGGTGGTATGTCACACTGACAACCCTTTAGA